AGAATTGAATTGCTAGATTGAGAGTTCTTTTATGATTTCGATTGTTGATAGTGCATGGATGTGCTTAATTGGTGGAATGCATAGTTGAATAATTTGTTCAGACAATTTCTTAAAGAGAAAAGTGATAGATTCAGCCATATACATGCAATATGTATTTTTGAAATTAGACGGTTGTTTTCGTTTTAATGAGCAAAAATTAAATTTTAAGGAAAAAATTAAAATGTAGTAAAATGGCATCCGGTTTACGAACAGGTTTAATAAAATGATTTTTGATTTTCGTCTGATTTTCATCTGGTAAACGATCTCACGTGATGAACTGATATGTATAACGATGATAATATATTATTATTGGAATGCTTCAATGTTACTTTAATTTACTTCCACTTCAGCAATTAACATAATTCGACAAATTTTAGTCTAAAATTAGATTATTTAGTAAAATTAGTACTAATTAGTAAGAACTATAACTAAGGTAAAGGGGACGAATAAATTGAAATGAAGAATGAATGAAAAATATACGAGAATAGAAAGGATTAGTTGAATAAGAAAAAACTGACAGAGATAGGTGAATGAAGTGAAATCGATGCTGAAAAAAAAATTTTTTTTTTTAAAAGAAAAAGCGATGTTTTTAGGTTGAAATGAATTAAGTCAAGCAAAATGAAGAAAAATTAAGAGAGAATTAAGAAAAATAATAAATTTTTCAATTGCACAAATAAGTTTTAAAATTTAGGCACTGATTTTTGATTTAAAAAAAAAATTTCAATGTTATAACAAAAAATTTTAAAGATCGATAAGTGCATGTTAAAATTAATTAATACGACTAGTTCTTCTCATTATGTCATATGTAACTTTTTGAGACGTAAGAGAATATGATGTAATTCTTTCAGGAATGGTTGAAATTAATTTACTGCTCCGTTTTTTAATGAAATTTCTTCAATACTTTGCATTACTTCGTTAATTGCTGCATTTTATTTACGTATTCTTCCAAAATTTGCAATCATATTAGAGCTTATTTATCTCATCGTTTTTTTATGGATTCTTTAGCAGAGTGATTTCCGGGTACCTAATTTCCGGGTAGATGTTAGCATTTACTCGGAGCAAGTTAAATGTCAAAGTTTAGCCAAGTTCAAATAGATCAAATTAACTTCCCTCTAAATTACAAGTGACTTTTGATAGATTAATGCAATTTACTTCATAAAAAAAAGTAGGGTTATGACTAAAGATAAGATTTAGATTCTGAAAGTAACCTTCGGAAATGTTCTGTCTGGGTGTGTATGTGTGTACGGTTGTTTACACACATACCTGCATGAATTAAATTGTGTGAAAACAAATTTTGTATTCTTTTTCCAAAATGATTTCCTTTTTATAACAGTTAAAATTTTCATTTATTTCAATCATTTTCTCTCTTTTTTCTCCCTTTCTTCCACCTCTCCTCACTACCATTTGAAACGATCATTTTTCTATAATTTTAATTTTCTCAAATACATGAAGCAAAATCATTTTTTTTTTTTTTTTTGATATTGTTGTATTTTCAGTATGAGAGAGAGAGAGAGAGAGAGAGAGAGAGTATTTATCTCTGTGGGATACCTCATTCACTTATTTCATATGCAGTAAAAGTTAAATTGACACACAAATTTCATTTGTTCATTTCATCCAATAATTTTTTTATTTTATTTTTGACAACAAACTAATTAATAGATAATGCATGAGAATAACTTGTTTACCTGTCATAAAATTGCTGCTTTTTTTGCTTTAGCTAAACTTGTCACTTTTTTCTTCCATATCTTCTCGCCTTCCATGTGACAAATACACATACATATTCAAATACAATATACATTCTATGTGACAAATGACACATACACAGACACAGACACACATACACAGACACATACATACACAACATTTTCCGAAAATTAACTTCAGAATCTAAATCTTATAACAGAGTTGTATTCTTTAGTCATAACTTTATTGTAAGGTTCTTTTCTTTCTTTCGTTTTCCTTTTTTTGTAGTATAATACATATACATATTATATTATATTATATTATATTATATTATATTATATTATATATTATATTATATTATATTATATTATATTATATTATATTATATTATATTATATTATATATTATATTATATTATATTGTATTATATTATATTATATTATATTATATATTATATTATATTATATTATATATTATATTATATTATATTATATTATATTATATTATATTATATATTATATTATATTACATCATATTATATTATATTATATTATATTATATTATATTATATTATATTATATTATATTATATTATATTATATTATATTATATTATATTATATTATATTATATTATATTATATTATATTATATTATATTATATTATATTATATTATATTATATATATATTATATTACATTATATTATATTATATTATATTATATTATATTATATTATATTATATTATATTATATTATATCCTTCATCTCTTCGTCTTTTGTATTATATTGCTATGAAAATAAGTCAAAGATAAGAAATAATTTGTTATCACTTAAACAGCTTATCACTATGAAATATATATGTAATATCATTAAATGGACTAACAGATAAAATCAATCAAAAATTTTTTTCTTTTTTTGAGATTTTTAGAAAATTTTCGAGGATAAAACGAAAGAAATGAAATGTAAAAAGAAATTGAAGATGAAGGAAAAAAGTTATAACTAAGGAACAGATCAAAAAATGATTTCGTACCTTTTTCATCATTTTTTCCTCTTTTCTTTCCTTTATTTTTAATGTCCTAAATTTTTACTGATCAAATAATTAAACTCACTCAACTATTTGTAACATATTGTCATCCACAATACAGTTAGATATTTTCAAAGTGTTTCCAAAAATAGCGAAGGAATTTATTTGTATCAGTTCTAAATACGAGATTAAATTATCCGAGCACTCAGATATATACACATGCAGTATCGATCAATTTAGCAAACTTTTTGGAGCGCTTAAAATTATTCTTTTATATTTATGAACATTTATTTTAGGCTATTTCTTGTTTTTCATTAAGTAAATAACTAAATCTGGCAATGTCGTATTTACAAAACAATTTTACACTTTAATTATATAATAATTTTCATTCTTCGATTGATCTGCTTTTTCTTCTTTGATTCATCTTCGATAGGAAATTCTTGTGAGAAACAAAAATGTTTTTAATTTTAGTAAGTGAATCATGATTTAAGCTATATAATAGCATTAAGCGACGATATAAGAGATAGCAAATGAATTTCACTCTGTGCAATCGCTTATCCATCATAAAAAGCATTGCAAAGAAATAACTTCAAAAATTCAATATAGAATATCAATCAATGTTAATTCCTTTAAATGCATTATATTTTTTAATTTAATTAGAATTAAGCAAAGTGAAAATATCTTTAAAATTCTAAAGATCTTTTTCGAAATGATTTTTCTTTATTTTTCTTTTTATTAAAAATTTTAATAACAATTTTAATGATTATCTAATCTATTATAATAATTACATAAGTTATATAATTCATTTTGCCTTATTTCCTATTTTCTGTTTTCTTCAACTATTTGGCTTCTTCTCTTTTTTTTAACTTTTGATTAAATTAAAATTTCACTCCAACCATATAAGACTAATCATAGAGATAAAAATTTTTTGTGAAGAATTTTTCTTTTTCTATTTTAAATAGATAATCTCTTTAAAAAGGGAAAAAAAAAAATTCTTTTTTCGTTTTAACAATTTATAAAATATATATGTGACAAATAGTTAGAAAAAGTAAGAGAGACAGAGAGACAAATCTAACACAAATATCATTGGTAAAACAAATTAACTAACGCCAAAAAAAAATCGTTGAAGGAATGACATTGAGGTGATGATGATAGGATGGTATTTAGCACAGTCGAGAACGGAACTCGTTCTCGTCTTTCTTCTTATCGACTAAATCAGTTTTACCTTTTTTCTTCATCCCTCTTTTCTTCCTTTTCCTCCTCCTCCTCCTCCTCTTCTCTCTCTCTCTCTCTCTCTCTGATCCTTTTTACCTCTTTTTCTTCATTTTCATAAAACATAAAATTGGTAAACAAAAAAAAATTTTTAATTATCCTAAATATATTATTCATCATTGAACTACCAATGATTTATTATTATTACTATCAATTCTGATTCATTCATTTTTTGCATTATATATGATTCACATTATTCAATACCATATTTCTTCTCTTTGATTCATATATGAATTAATTAATACATTGATTATGATGGCTCGTCTTTCCGGATTATATATAACTCAATTTTATGATCACCATCTTCCCTTTTTCCGGATTACATATAACTCAATTTTATGATCACCATCTTCCCTTTTTCCGGATTACATATAGCTCAATTTTATGATCACCATCTTCCCTTTTTCCGGATTACATATAATTCAATTTTATGATCACCATCTTCCCTTTTTCCGGATTACATATAACTCAGTTTTATGATCACCATCTTCCCTTTTTCCGGACCATATTTAATCTTGCTTAACTCTCTGCAAATAAATATCTAGGGAAAACTATTATTGTTTATCATTTACTTCTACTTATCAGATCTTTGTTTGCGCATATTTTTATTTTGCATATATTTCAAATTAAATTACGGTCTTTTCGCTTGAATTCATCTCCCTTTTAAAACTTCATTTTATATTATTTATAGTCTGACATTATATTCTGATCTATGAACTTTCTACTTTCTATGTGTTTTCATTCTAAAATTTTATTCAAAATAAGTTATATTTACAAAGTAAAAAAAAGGCATAAATGCTTTGTCTTTTTTTTTTCCTTCATTTCATCAATAAAAAAGCATTTAAGTATGTTAAATAAATTAAAATGGATAATTCGTTGTCTTTTTCAATTTCAGTATTATTGCATTTCTGATTCGAATTGCGCACAAAGCAAACGTTCCTTTTGGCAATGTTATTTTAACGATTTGTTATTATTCAACGATTATGGGCAAATGTTTGTTTTTGCTTTACAAATTTAAATTTTCAAATTATATACTTTAAGTAAAAAAAAAAAAAAAAGATTGGAAAGGTGAAATTTTTGTTGGAGAAGAATAAATGAAACAATTCGATTTCATGAATTGAAACTGTTCAAATTAGTAATGATTAATAATAATAATATAATAATAGTAACAGTAATAATAATAATAATAATATAGCTGAAATTTTCAGATGGCTTTAAATGGTGGAATTTTTTTAATCGACATAAATTAATCAAACCAAAAAATAGGAATAGTAGAGAGCAAGAATGTCGCGATAATTTGGTTGAATCCTTTGTAGAACATCATTTAACGGTTGAACAAATTAAAGATATTTATATTGATTCAAAAATTCATTCTCAATACCCAGAACGAAGTGATGGATTAAGCTCTATTGAAGCACGGTGAGAATGAAAATTATATTTTTTATTAAATGTGATTTCATACCACAATAATAGCTTTTCGTTTTTGTTTTTTTTTTTTTTTACATTTAGTCTTTTTTTTAAAATCGTTTTATTCAAAGCAAAATGATAAGAAATAAAAATAAGCTAAAAGTGTAGTAGAGGAAATAGTTTTTTGATTATGTTTATTATCATCAAGTAAAGATAAAATTATTTTTAACTAATTATATTCTGTTAACTTAAAAAAGAAATTAAAAATGTATTAAAAAAAATCTTCTATTTTTTCTTCTTTTCCTTTTTCACTTTCAGAAATAGAAAAAAATCTGTTTTATTTTTTTTTTTTTTTACTTTTTGAAATAAAGCTTTATTTGTTAGCTTATCGTTATTTCTTCGTCAATTTTTTGAATTTTATTTATTTTATCATCTTATTTATATATTTTTTTTTCTTTCTTTTTTAAATTTAAAAAGCTTAAAAGAGAGCTTTAAATAAGTTTTAAATTTGAAGAATGATGATAAAAATAATATGCAAATTTTTGCTTTACCTTTTAGGTTTGAAGTGCTATCGTGCTTTTTTTTCTTCCTCTTAAATTATTTATGAAATAAAACTTGAAATGCTTTATAGATAATATTATTAGTGATTGAATAATGTTATGATCTCACTTTCGATGACAATAATCGATTAGGAAATGATAAAAATGAGACTAAATGACTGCACAGCATGCATTAGTGAACGATTATTTAACTTTACTTCGCAGATTTTTGTTGTTATCCTAACTTCTTGACAATAACCTTATTGTTCTTCTACAATACTGTGCAATTAAACAATAATATGAGAGAAATGAACAAATTATATTAACAATGCATTAAATGTTCGCTAAGCTAAATTGTCATATTTGCGCTCCGCCATCGATGTTATCGCTGCTGAAGCACTGGCATTTATTGAAAATGAATTTTGTGAGTGAATTCTGAGACACATAGAATCAGTCATAAGCGCATAATTCAGTGAATAAAGAATTATCATTGTCGGATGGTCTTTATTTTTTATAGGATGAAATTTAGTTTAAAACATTGTATCAGTTGCTTATAAGAGAGATTGTTAGGTTGGAAAGATCTTTACAGGATGAAATTTAGTTTAAAACTTTATATCAGTTGATTATAAGAGAGATTGTTAGGTTGGAAAGATCTTTACAGGATGAAATTTAGTTTAAAACTTTATATCAGTTGCTTATAAGAGATTTACAGTATTTCCATATTGCAAGCAGATTTGATTTCTAAATAAAGGAAATTAATTAAACAATGAGTTTACAGTCATTTAATAAGCGAATAATGAGATTTCATAAATAAATGAATTCACTCTTGAAATATTATTTAGCTAACAAATGTCTTATGATTTTAATACAAAATTATTTCTACACATCATAAATTTTTTACCTTTGTTTTTCCGATTAATATTCAGCTTATGCGATTTTTAGCAAACGTTTACGTGATGGTGGCGCTAATTTTATTGAATGTCCACGTAAGATTAGTAACGTGAAATTGTTTCTGCGTCAATTTTTGTATCGGTTATGGTTGTTACTTCTTGGTAAGTGTATTTCATTGCATAAAGATAATTAAGTAATTCTAAAGATAATAAGAAATGATTATTCACTTCCTAAATCTTAAATTAAAATTAAATTTACATATGAAAAATGCTGAAAACGGTTCAGAAAATTCCCGCAATTTCCATTACAAATTGAAAAAGTATGAATATTTTTTAAATTTAGTGTTTAAAAAAAAATATTTAAGGGAAATTTGAAAAAGAAATTATTCAAATTGAAAAAAATTTTCTTCTTCAAATATATTGCAAAACATTAATTTCAAGCATATCAAAAAATTGACAAAAGATGAAAACTGTTCATTTTTTTTCTTATATGTCATTTCCATTTCTTTTTGCAAGTAACTAATTTATTTACAACAAAAAAAAAAATTTCTCACATTAAACTGTTGATAAATCGATACTGTTACACAGCTTTTTGTCAATGTTTTCAACTTTTTTGAAATAAAAAAAATTTTTTTTTTAGTTGTTTGTGAGTAGGTCAGTTTTATTAATTTTTAAGTAACTCAATTTTATATTTAAAGTAAGAAAGAAAAATGAGAAATAAGAAAGTTAAAATTTTATGGAACAAAAAAAAAAAAAAAAACATTTACCAATAAATGAATCGATTACTCTTACATTCAATTAATAAGAGATAATTAATTAATTCTAAAGATAATCGAATAATTAAGTAATTCTAAAGATAATCGAATAATTAATTAATTCTAAAGATAATCGAATAATTAATTAATTCTAAAGATAATCGAATAATTAAGTAATTCTAAAGATAATCGAATAATTAAGATGGTTTCATTAATACATTGTACATTCAGAAAAAAATTAAGCATATTTATCACTTCATTTGCTTATTTGTTTATTGTTTTTTTTTCACTTACCTATTTTTTGTTTACTTTACCATATTTCATCCACATTCTTTCCTTTTATTATCTAAATCTTTTCCGGATACTAATTTAATTAATTTATTCGTCTTTATTTTGCGTGAAAAAAACTACATAATAATATATAAAATGAAATTTGAATATTAATACTTCTTTATTCGAAATGAATAATTTAATTTATCTATCCTTTTAATAATAATTATTGCTATTATTATTGTTTTTTTTTCACCCTTACTAGTATTATACTAATAAGGATTGGATAATAATAGCACTTATTTACCGAATATTTTCATCTTTTGTCTCATTTAAATTAAATTAATTTATTAAGTTTTCGTATTATAATTTTAATGTTCGTTGTATTAATGTAATATAATAATATCAATGTATCATTGCTTTCCATCATTAAATGGCAACTAAATTTACAATATTAAAAGTTTATTAAATAATTTAAATTACTGATTTGCAGTATAAATGTTTCAGGTGCTGCAGTGCTTAGCTTAGCAACATATATTATTCATTTAATGCACGGTAATAATGAACCTGTTAATCTTTATTGTACATTAATTCTTATTTTAATTGTCATTCTCATGTGTTTTGTAACATTTTATCAAGAAAAACAAACACTTCAAGTGAGTTCTTTACTTAATTAATTAGTTAATTAATTATTTCATCTGATATTTTAATGTTGATTAATTGCTTAATTGCTATCATTTTACTTATATTGCAATATACAAAATTAATTGATTGTTATCATTTTAATCATACTATCATAGTTTATCACACTAAAATAGCATTTTTTTGTGTTTTGTTGAAATATTTTAAGAATTCTCTCAATATTTGATTTAAAACAAAAAAAAAAAAAATTTACTAAAAATTCTTACAATAATATAGGTAATAAGTGACTTGAAAGCAGTTCTTCCGACATCTTGCATTGTCATCCGGGATTGCAAAAAGCAACAGGTACCAGAAGAGGAACTGGTTACCGGTGATTTGGTTGTAATAAGCGCTGGTGCTATTATACCCGCTGATATGCGCATTTTGCAGTCAAATGGCTTGAAGATTGAAACATCAGCCATAACAGGTTTATCAGATATTTTTTCTGATATCATTATTACTGTGACAGCTTTTTCAGGAGTTAAAATGAAGTGATAATATATATCAGTGACATTTATTTGTCAATCATACATTATTATTTATGTATTTTTGTAGTTATTGTTGCTGCATAAGACTTTTGGTAGTAAAATTCATAGTTTTGAGCTATTAACCTGAGTGCTAACCTGGATTGAGAGCTGAAGTACTAATCGACATTATCTCCAACATTTGGTTATTTACTATACCAATAAAATGGTAACAAATATTCTTATTCAATTTCTTAATTTCCAGGTGATAAGGATGCTTATGATTATACGCACGAAGCTGTTACAACATATCCATCAGTATTTGAAGCAAGAAATGTAGCATTTAAAGGATCATTTTGTCTTGAAGGTGATGGAATAGGAATTGTTGTACGAACTGGAAAATATACGGTAATTTAGGTTATTTTTTCCATTTTTTTTTTCCTTTTATTCTTAAAATTGTTATTTTGTACTGATTTTTTTTTCTTATTTTTAATTTGAATTAGACAAATTTGTTGTTGCACTTTAGGTTCTTGGCTATATCATAAACATTCGTCAACAAGTTAGCAAAACACGAAGCAAATTAAAAATGGAAATTGATGAATTTGTCAATTTTATATCAATCTTAGCTTTGATAATGGCAACCGTATTCTTTATGTTTGGTAGTATCATAAATAAGTTTGTTACTTTTTCCAAATTTTTAATGAAATTTTTAAATTTCAAGCAGGAAAATGGAAATGCTGAAAATTTTATTCTAATTTTATTGAGGAATCCTACTGGTTAATTTACAGTTCGAAATTTTAATTTTATCTATAAAATATTATTCGATCAAAGATTGCATAAACAGTTCATCTATCAGTCATATGGAAAACTGATTTTTGTTATTAAATATTATATTTATTTAACTAAAAATGATGATAATACTGAATTTTTAATCAGTGCAATACACTTTGTTCTTTTCAAGCTTTCAAAATGTTTTGGATCATTTTATCATTGGTTTCTTGATTATCATAGTAGCAAACGTACCGCAAGGTTTACCTGCAATGGTTATTTCACAACTGGCAATTATTGGTAGACGATTAGCTAGTAAGAATGTTTATATTAAAAAGTTGGATATTATTGATGAGCTTGGTGCTACTACCGTAGTTGCAACTGATAAAACTGGTACACTAACACAGAATATGATGGTACTCACAGATTTGTGGTACAATCGAAAGCACCAACCAAGTTTGTTCCTTTTCAAAAAAAAAAAAATCATTGTTTAAATTGGACTTGTTAAAATGAAAATGCATGGAAAATTTTTGCATGCATAAATAAATGTTATGTGTTTCTAATAAAAATAATTTGTTTTTTAAAAAAGGGAAAAATATTATCCATTTTTGTGATTTAAATTCAAATTTTCAAACAAAAAATGAATTCATCAGTCTTTTAAAAAAATAATTTTTTTTCAGGACATTACATAATAATAACTTTCCTACTTTTTTTTTCAATAAATAAAATTCTTATTTATCTTAATTCAAATGAATTGATACATGAGTTTTGATTTTTTTTTAGGTTTTTTATTTCAAAGTTACTATATTTATGTATAAATTTTAAAAAAAAAAGATTGCGATTCATTTTTCCATGAAATTATGATATTATTTTGATTCATTTTATTACATTTCAGGTCATAACTATGTGAACAGTCAATCAGTTCTCGATATGAATTGTCCTAAACCAACATGTGAACAACCACTATCAGATATCTTTGTGGTAATGAGTGTTTGCAACAGGGCGCATTTTGAATGTGTTCGGAGCTCACAATATTTAACTTCAAAGAAAATTTCATCAAAAATGTCAAATATGGGCCAAGTCAGCAAACGATTTACTGTCCTGTTAGTTAATATATTTAAAATAAACAAACAAAAAAAATTTTTTCAGAATTCTAAAAAATTTTATAAAAGATGAGTAAGTAAAAATGATTTATGAATTAAAATAAAATAGAATTTTGCTCCTCTATTTATTTATTTATAGTATTTCTTTTGTTTTCTTCCTTTGATAAAATTTATGATTATTACATTTATCTATTTCGTTAGTTTTCAACTCTGTTAATTGCTTGTCATATACAGCACAAATTGAAATAAATTGAAACAAAGATGAATAAAGCAAATGAAGAAGATAAACTTTTTTTTTTTCAAAATTTTAGAAATTCCGTTACTGGAAAACCAACGATGGTATTTTCGATGCAAAACAATGAAATGGAAGCAAAAGATATATGCAAGATTGACGATATTCAGCAAACCAATGAAGTTCAGGTCAAAGTTCAACTCTAATCATCTGATCTAATAAAAATGAAAATAGGAAAATTAGTATGACTAAAGTGATATATTGGAGATATGATCTTATATCACCAACATCATTTCCAGGGGAAAAAAATGATTACAGGAAAAATGAAGAGAAAGACAGTGAAATGATAGAGGGTGATAAGGATAGACTGCAAAATTGATTCAGTCGTAAGGATGAAACATTTCAATTACGGATGATAAAAATTCAAGTGAAATTCAAGTGAAATTCTTCCAATTTAGTTTAACTATTCTGTTTGAAATTAGCACAATGAAATTTGAGAATTTATTAATTAAATTTTCAATTCTTGGGAAAGAAAAAATTATATGTAATGATGATTGATTGCAAATATACAGTTTATAAATTTTTTTTTATCGAAAAGAAAATCCCTTTTTCCGTTTTTGATAAAAAACGTACGAAAATATATTGCATATAATAACAACATTGAAAATTTTTATCATAAAGATTCAAGTGAAATTTTTGTTTGTTTTCATCTAAAATGATAAATAAAATAAAAATTTTGAAGCTTTAGATTATAAATTCCACTTCAGATTTAGTTCTTCAGCGATAAATTATTGATTACATTTAGCATTTCATTTCAAAATCAAATTTTTTCCAATCAAAATATTATAAAGTAAATTTCTGATGAATTCTGTTTGTTTTCATCTAACATGATAAATAAAATTTAATTAAAATTACTTCCGATTTATAATAAATGTATATATTTTGAATGCAAAATTTAAAAGTTTATATTTTTTTTTTCCTTCAAAGTAATAATCCCATAAATATATTTAAATTGTTTAGTGTGAAAGTAATAATATATTTGAACACAATCATATATACGGTTCACCGTCTGATGTTGCATTACTTCGTTACGTGGAAATGTTTTCATCAGTGGAGAAAATTCGAATGAATTACATTGTAAGTAAATAATCTATTTACTTATTTATTTATTTAATACAATTTAAGAGTATAATCTTGTAAAGAAACAAATTCAAACAGTTTTTCTTTTTTTTTTTTTTTTTTTGTTTTTTTGAAATTTTTGGAAAAGAAAACAATGGAAAATACTGGAAATTTTATTGTATAAAGTATAGTCATAATTTTTGTTAGATCTACATAATATACAATAATAAATATTCTTCATAAATTTTTCAAGGAATGAAAAAAAAATTTTTTTTTTTTGTAAAAATTAAAGAAATATTCAAAAAAAATAGTTTTTATTTTTTTGTTACAGACAGTTCTTGATATGCCATTTAATTCGGTACGTCGATATCATTTGGTGGTAGCACGTGATGTGACGGAATTATCAGAAATGGAAAAAGATGAGAAAGGAATGAATCAATCAAATGCTGGTGGTGGTGGTGCTGGTGCTGGTGGTGGTGCTGGTGCTGGTGCTGGTGGTGGTGGTGTTGGTGCTGGTGGTGCTATGTTTGTAATGATGATTAAAGGTGCACCGGAAGTTGTCTTAAAATATTGTAATTATCTACAAGTTGGTAGAGAATGTTTACCGATTGATCAAGAACTTCGTCAAGAGTGCCAGGTGAACGCTCAAACGTAAGTATGTAAACAACAAACATTAGACGAAAAAAAAAGAAAACTTTTGAAATTTACCAAAAATTTGTTTTTTTCTTTTCGTTATTTTTTTTGTGTGTGTTATTTACCTTTGATTTAGTTAATTTCATTTTTAGGTAAAGAAGGAAAATTTTTTTTTAATGATGGCATATATATACTTTTTCTCATAAAATTTAATATTTCATTATATATGATTATTTAAATTTAAAAATTTGGCAAGAAATTTCAATATTTGCTTAAGATTTATTTGTTAAAAGTTTAATTTCTACAGTTTATTTTTTATAATTTATATTTTGTAAATGAACAAAGAACAAATATTTCTCTAATTTTTGCATTATGAAAAAAAAAAACCTTTTAGGCAGCTTGGGAATATTTTGGAAATGAAGGAAAAAGAGTATTTGCGTTTGCTGTAAAACGTTTTTTTATCAGTGATGCAAATGTTAAGTTTACATCTTCCGATATTGTGTTGGAAAATTTGATATTTTTAGGAATGACAGCATTAATTGATCCACCACGGTAAGTATTTCTCTATTTTTAAAAAAAATTTTTTGATTTAAATTTTTAATTGATTTTTTTGATATGAGAAAAAAATGTAATTATCAAAATTCATAACCTTCTTTTTCAAACTTTTAACACTTTTTTTTGTTGTTGTTGTTAAGTGATGATGCAGCAAATGCGATAAAGCAATGCAAAGAAGCTGGTATTAAAGTTTATATGATTACAGGTATGATATTTATATAAGTTAATTTAAAAAAGTGCCTAGTACAGTTGAAGCTAATGTTATCAGCCAGATGCAATAATTGATATAACCTAATGCATATTGTCTGCTAGGCTTCTTAAAGTAATATTTAATTTTTTGGGCTTCTCTTAAGCTACCATTATTATTCTTCAAAATAATTTTATTAAAAATTGCAAATTAAAGTAACAATATATATTCGAATCCATTTATGAATAATATAATGCATTAATACTACTAATAAATATACTAGTAAAAGTTGAATTCAATTTTTTCTTAAAAAATATATATTATATTAATTACTAATTATCTTAATTTTTTTTACTGTAATATAAAAGTTTATAGCTATGAACTGTTTAATTATAACTGATAATATGTCAACTTATTATCAGCTAATTATAACTGATAATATGTCAACTTATTATCAGCTAATTATAACTGATAATATGTCAACTTATTATCAGCTAATTATAACTGATAATATGTCAACTTATTATCAGCTAATTATAACTGATAATATGTCAATTTATTATCAACTAATTATAACTGATAATATGTCAACTTATTATCAACTAATTATAACTGATAATATGTCAACTTATTATCAGCTAATTATAACTGATAATATGTCAACTTATTATCAGCTAATTATAACTGATAATATGTCAACTTATTATCAGCTAATTATAAAGAGCTAGATTTTTTTTTTTTTGCAAATTTGTAACCATTATATGAATTATATAAGTGGAAGTAATTGAGATTATTCATGGATAATGCATAAATTAATAAATTAAATTTCATTTTGAGAGAAAAAAGGAAAAGAAATTTTCGTAATATCATATAGGTGATCATCCGACAACTGCAGTAGCAGTAGCTCGAAAGATTGGACTTATTGGTATTGGTGATGAAATGGTATGGTTTTCTTTTTAATTAATAAATTAACCTTTCTCTCTTTTTTCTGTCTTTTTTCTACAACACTTTTTTTTCATTGAGAATAACAGATAGCATTAATTGAAACAATTAAAATAAATTATTAAACATTTAATTATCACATAGAGAAAAGTCATAATTTTAAGATATCAAAAGAAAAAGAAAACGAAATTGAATTCATTGACAAAATTCATATGCTTTATTCTAATTTATGTAGTAAAATTTTTTATTTTTTTATGTTGTAGTAAAATTTTAGTAAAATTTTTATTTTTAGTCGAATCTATGTTTTCTTAAAATACACATAATTTTCCTTTAAAAAACAAAAGATAAAATTTGTGCTTGAAATTGTTAAATTTATGACTAAATTTGAAACTTTTAAATTTGTGAATGAATCTGAAATCGTTGCATCTATAGCTGAAAACATTTGCATTTTCCTCATTCTCTTGCTTTTTCTCATTTAAAAACAATATTTTATATTATGATATTAATTTCATTCATCTATATTTGTGACAGTCACCTAATCATATTTCAATTTCTAACTTTTATTCGTTCTTTTTTAGCAAAACTTAACTTTTTTTTATTATTATTTTGCTTTCTTGCATATTTATCATAAATTGGAAAAGATGAAATAATGCAATATGTGAATGTTAATTAATTAACAGTGATTAATTTATAGGTGGAATCAAGTGGTCGTGATCATTTAAAATTGAGTGTAATTGGTGCAAAGCAAATAAATTGGGGTGTTGCAGTAGGCGATGATTTGGATCGTTTGGATGAATATGGCTGGAATGAATTACTCAAAAAGAAATACATTGTTTTTGCAAGGTAAAAAAGATTTTTGGCGAGAAGAAAGGAAAAGAGAAAAGTAAACGAAAGTGAAATAGAAAAATGAGGAAATTTAACAATTGCTTTTTTTAAAAAGCAATTGTTAATTTTTTTTTTAAATTATAAAAGTTTTTTTATTGTAAGAATTATAAAAATTTAAATATATAAAAATTAATTTAAGAAAATTTATGAAAATTTAAATTACAAAAGTTATTTGTAGAAAAAAATTTAGGATAAATCCGTATCAGAAATTCCGAATTATTGAAGAATGTCAAAAACGTGGTGAAATAGTAGCTGTTACCGGTCAAGGTGTTAGTGATACACAAGCACTTGCATGCGCTAACATCGGTATCGCAATGGGTATTACAGGTTCAAAGTATTTTCATAAATTTAATTATATCATTAGCTAATTGACTAATTTCATTAATGTAATGAAACTAATTAATATGTGTAATTTTCATTTACTTATAGTATTACTTTAAGAAAAAAAAAGAATTATGTCAATTACGTCTTTTCATAATATCTTTGCCTTATTTACGCTGCTAACTCTTAACTAACTAAATTAAAATAATGGAATAAACTAATATAAGTAACTGTTTAACTATTTAATTTATAAAAGTGTCGTGAAAAAAAAAATGCTGCGAAGAAAAAAGCAGAATGTGCATGTTTTGAAGTTTGAATACTTTTTAATTTCATATTTAAATTCATAATTTCGTTGTTATTCATTTTTTAACAAAGATTAGTATTATTGAAATATGAAGTAATTGTAAGATAAAAGAGGACAATTTGCATTGAAAACATAAATGGAATAAATGGTAAGTTGAAATTCTTTATCAGAAAAAAAAAATATTTTAATTTAGGAAGTGATATAGCAAAGCAAGCAGCAGATATCATTCTAACAGATGATAATTTCGCTTCAATTGTCAAAGGAATCGAAGAAGGACGTCTGTTATTTGACAATTTGCGCCTTTCAATTGCTTATACATTAGCTCATCTTTGGCCAGAAATATTTCCAGTTGTCTTACAGTTTACACTTGGTTTGCCATTAGGATTATCAGCCTTACAGGTTCACAGTTAAACATTGTTTAGAATTAGTTTTATTGTGTTTTAAAATAATATTTCCTGTTGTTTACTAAGCATAAATAATTTTTGGTCTGAGATAATGAACAAAATAAGTAAATACTATCAAATAATTTACTTAAAAATAATGATATAATTCATTTTTTTTTCCTTTTTTGTTTTAGATTTTAAGTATTGATTTGGCAAGTGAATTACCACCATCGATCTCGTTAGCATATCAATCACCAGAGAATGATATCATGCGAATTCCACCGCGACATCGTAATGATCGGCTTGTATCTCGACCTCTTCTCATTTATTCATATGCTTTTACTGGAACAATAATTACAGTAGGATGTATTATCTCTTTTCTTTTTGTTTATCGGTAAGTAAGCTAAGCATTATTTATACTTACTTTTTTTTTTTTGAATCAATTAATTAAATTTGATGCATTTAAACATTCTTTTTCCTCTTTTTTTTAATCAATTTGTTAATATAATTAAATATTTTTTTAAGTATCAGAAAAAATGTATTAAATTTAGATATCATAATATTGGATTAAATGATTTACTTTTTACTGCTGATAATTATTGGTCTCGAGAAGCGAACAATTTTACAGTTAATGGTGTGGATGTATTAACACCATCTGAGCAATTATACATTAAAGGTCAAGCAGCAGCAGCATGGCAGATTACTTTAGTAGTCTCTCAGGTAAATTAAATTGTAGCTAATTGATTAAAATTTGAAATTAATCAAGAATGATATGCTTAATTATTACTGTTAATTTAAATAAGCATTAATGTGATAATTTATTTTTAGGTTTTTCACTTATATATGTGTACAACACGTGGAACATCATTTTTTCGCCATGCTACCACCAATTTAGTTTCCATCTTTGCAGTTATCATTGAAATTTTATCGCTCAATTTCTTCATTTATACGCCATTTGCGCAATCTTTCATGGAAACTCAATCACCGCCAAATGAAGTTGGCTTTCTTTCTTTCTTTCTTTCTTTCTTTTTTCCTTTACAAAAGTACTCAGTATCAAGAAAAAAAAATAATAATTTTAATGATTGGACATATTTATAATAATTATTTTTGGTTATTATTTATTCATAATAAATAATGAAAATTGATTGTTTTTTTTTTTTTTTTCATTTTAAACTATTTTTTCGGTTTGGTTATGCGCTGGACTTGTCGGTTTAGTATTATTAATATGCAATGAATTACGAAAATTTTGCATACGACGATGGCCAACAAATTTTTTCGTAAAATTTGTTAATTTTTAAAAAGTATTCTTTCGGTTTTCCGTTTTTCTTTTTTTCTCTTCCTCTCATCCTCTTTCTTTCATCATTCCATTACTTTGTGCTATTTTTTGAATTTGTTAATAATTCTAGCTATGAGCAACTTTTTGTCATATTATTTAAAAATTTTACTCATAATATATATTTATTTGCTAAAGCAAATTTAAGTTTTAAAAGGAAACAGATTAATTTAATAAATTTGTACTTGAATTCAGAATTACTTTTCATTATAACAAAATTAGTTATCGCTTAAACGGCATTTAATTATACATTGTGATAAAGGTATAATTGATATCATTCGATCATTTGATATGATAATAGATATGATAATAAATATTATTCATTTATTAAATGTTTATTTTTTTTTTTTTTAATTATGAATAAACGCAGCCACTGAAAACATTGTACAAAATGCAACAAAAATTTGAGTCACAAAAAAAGTGTAAAATTTATGGAATATAATAAATGAAAAAAAACGGATCGAATGAGGGAAAAAGAAAAATGAAAACCTGAAATTAAATGAAAATGTGAGATTTACATTTATTTTCTGAAATGAAGAAGTAAGTTTGATTGTGATGCAAAATTTTGCTTCTAATATTTCAAATGGAAAAATGGATTTTAATTGAAATATAAAACCTTAAATTCGAACTGAAGTTAGCAATCTCTTCTAGTACTGGAAAAAGAAAAAGTAGATTTGAATGAAAATGCGAAATTTTACTTTCAATTCTTAATGCGGTAGCACATGAAAGACAATAAAATCAGCCTAAAAATTGTTAGATTTGTGATAGTTATCGGTAAATAATATTTAAGAACAAATAATTTCAAAAAAAAAAAGGAAACTAATTAATTCTAAATAATCGATAATAATAATAATAAATAACCATAATATATATCTTTTTATATCATTTTGAATCCGTGAGGATCGAATTTTTTTTCTACTTGTAAATTTTTTAATAATCTGTTCTGTCCGAAAGAATGTTAATGAATGATAATAACAATTTAATGTTAGTCCAAAAAACTTAATCTACAAAGTAAACTGTTAATCTAAAAATTATTTAAATTAGAAATAATTGCTTTCGATTATTCGAACTAAAACTTTGAAAAGTGGAAATAAGAATGGTGAAAGAACTGATAAATTTCAAATTAATGATCAGTATGCAAATATATCAGATGAAAAAAAATGGAAAATAGATCAAAAGATGAGAAATTGAGCGTTTTGATGAAAAATTAAAATTAAAATTAGTTGTTGACAAAGTCTGAAGTGAAGTAACAGTGTTGACAATTAGCATTAATTGTTAAAAAAGTATTATCCGGTTAACATAATGACACGTAGTACGGTTAAGTGAATGCTACGTGTAGCGTGCATTCACGTCGGAAAGCGTGCATTCACGTTGAAACAAGTTTTACAAGTGACATTTTAGCTTAGCTTTCCACTTAAGTTTTTCAATTAGTTATCAGTATAAATGTAACTTCGTTTATTGCACAATGAATTAAATTATTGATTTGAAATTTGAAATTTCTCTACCCAAACACTTCTGGAAGTATTTTAAATAATAAATTTTAACACATTTTAAATATTATATAAAAACGAAAAAAAAAGTTAAAAAATGATAGTTGGCGACATATCAAGATTACTTCAAATGTACTGCATAGGAAATCAAATCGAATAATTATAAATTTCAGAAAAATCTGTCAATTGTAGTAATTTCGTTTTTTTTAAAAAGATGAAACAATTGTTGGAAATTAAAAATTTTTTTTAAATTTTACTATTATTTTTTTACTGCTTATAAAAATTAAAATAGGTAGTGTTTTGTTTTCATGACAAATAATTTAATGATTTTGAAAAATAGAAACATTATAAGTTTTTTTTTACACTCTCCTTATCATTTAAATTTTTTTTTTCATATTTTTTTCACATATCTTTTATCAATCAAACAATTTTACAGGGAAATAACAAGAATGGAATTGCTATTATCTCATTTACATAGCAGTTTGAAAACTGAATCTTTTATATGCACAATCAATAGAGTGTTAATGGGATGAATTGATTTAATTAATAATTTAATCAGATTTGTTATCAGTGATTAAATAATATCTTCAATGATGAGTGAAATATCACCACAATAATTACGGGATAAATTTGTCGTTTGCATTAAATAATAAAATTAAAATTTCAAACGGATTGAATTAGGATTAAAATACTATTTTGTTGTTCGTTATGGCTGATATAAGCAAGATAAATAATAAATAATACCTTGAAAAAAAAATTATCAGAACCTATATGAAAAAATTCATTTGATCACTCTTTTATAATTATTTTCAGATGTATGAATCACCCACCTCCTTAATTCATATCGCATTGGGAGTGATTTCGAGATTGCATCAAATAGCTAAAAATTTACGCATTACTAAATTTATCTTGATTTTAAGGAAATTATCATAATTAATGATATAATATACGAAATTAGCTGCCAAGCTAATTCAAGATTTCTCTTTGCTTAATATAAGATAGTTTGTATTTTCTTATTTATTTACTGCATTGCATTTTTTTGCAAGTATTTCTTATAAAATAAAAAGTTTCCGTTTTATAAGCATAAATAAAATAAATTGTGTTAAAGTAAAGTAAAATCAAACAAAATAAAATGACAATAGATAGAATACAAAAGAAAGAAGTGTTATATTCAAATACATCAAAAATTTGATAATTTAAAAGGTCAAAGTTTAGTGAAAGATAAAAATGATATGAATGGATGGAGTAACAATGAGTGAAGTTGGTGAATCACTGAACAAATCGAGAATTTTGCATAATGATAAGTTGTAGAAACTTTTGCTCTATGTTAGTTTTCAATTATTTGTTGGATATAAAGCAACGATTTTGCAAAATTCATATTTTAAAAAATGATTTGAAAACATTAGAAAATAAATAGTCTAAGGTTCAGATTTTTAAATTTTATTATGTTGAACTTTGTTTAAGATTTCTTATTTGTTCCATTTTCATTCCATTTGTATGACTTAATTAATTTCAAAGACTTTGTTTTTGATTCTTTTTTTTTTTTTTTTATTTTACAAGATTTATCTTTCGCTTTCTTTCTTGTTTAATTTCATAAAAATTTCATATCAAATGCAAATTTTGATTATTCTTGCTGCATTCTCGACATGCTACACACTTGCATTTCTACAACAAACAATTGCTATTCGAGGACAATTAATGTGTGGTGCAAAAGCATTGGATGATGCTCGAATTGAAGTATGGAATAAAAATAAACTTGGTAAGTATTTCATTTTAAGTTTAATTTCAACTTCTCATAAAACTATTATTAGCAAAGTATAGAACTATTAAAAAATAATGCGTCAAATTAATAATTCATTTTTAGTACCTAAATTTAATTTGTAAAAAAATAAGAATTGAATTAAACAAAATGTTTTTGAAGGTGTTGATGATCGACTGATCAATACAAGAACGAATAATGCAGGTCATTTTGAGGCTATTGGTGCATTTTTTCATATTAAACCATATATGAAGATATATCATACTTGCGACCGTGATACCAACATACTTGGAATGCAATTCAAAAAAGTATTCATTTATAAAATGCAATTTTATAAATTCAAAATTAATTTAAAATGTACAAATTCAAAAAATGGTGAAAGAACAAAAAAAAAAAAAAAAAGTAAAAACTAATGTAAAATAAAAAAGTTACAGTAAAGCCATGAAAATGTTATTTTTTGAAGCCAAAATTCAATTTTTGCATCTAACAGATATATTTTTACAAATTTCCTGAAACAAACAATGAAAATCCAAGAGGTTATAATAGAGTGATAAAAATTGAAGTTAGATTATGATAGCTGCGCTATATCATAGATTGTATAAAGAATTGAGCTTTCGAATAAATTTTAATAATTCTAAATAATTTTTAGTTATTGACAAAATATAAAATAAAATTGAACATATACTTATTATTTAAGCAATTCAAATTGCTAAAAAAAAATATTCATCGATAGATAGAAGATTTTGTTTGAATTTTATTTGGATTTATTAATAATAATTGCAAAGTAAATTCATTCATTCATTCATTACAGCCAGGTAGTCGTACAGTTAAATGGACAATTCCATCACGATTTGTTGATCGTTCAGGCAAAGTTGGAGAATTCTTTGACATTGGTATTGTAAATATGCAAATAATTTTTCCTAAAGAAGTGATAAAATATTTGTAAAAGCACTTATGCATCATTTTTTCTTTTTTTCTTAATTGAAATCTTAATTTTCGAAATTTAAAATTTTTTAATATTTTTTTTTGTGAAAAGTTGAAGTCAAATTAGTTTAATAATAAGAACACTTATAAATTTAATTGTCAGATATTTTTTACAAGTGAAATTAAAAACAGTTAAATATCATTTATCTTTTAAAAGTTTTTGTTGATATTAAAACTATGCAAAATTGATTGATTGATTAATTCTTATGAAGTAAAATTTTTTAAAATTGTCGATTGTATTACAAAATGAAAAAAATTGAAATGCAATGGCCATTATCATTTTCACTTTAATTAATTAGCTAATCTTCAACCTTTGGTCCACTTAACAATGCATTTGGTTCAATGAATTGAAATGTCATTTCGTCTTGTTTCATTCTACTTTTAATTGAAAATATACCAGTTCTTATCATAAGTATACCGGTTTATTCAGTTTTTCTTTTTTGGAATGTTTTATCACATCTGATTAATTAATTAATCGCCTTGAAAATTTTGAACATAAGCTGATTAATTCGACTTTTTACTTTTGATTTAAGTGATAATACTGATAATAATGATCTAAAATATAATCATCAAAACCTTCTAATGTTTGTATGATGATAAGATATAACACTGGTAAAACAAGTTTTTTTTTTAATTTCAAATATAATGAAAGAAATTTAAATAAAGCTAATAAAAATATGTTAGCGGGAAGTAAGGAATCAGAAATAAGATGAAAAGAGAGAGAGAAAAAAGGGAAACAATTAAATATTAATTATTTAATCGAAGTATAATTATCTCTGTCTAAATTATGTCAGTAATATTAATGGAAACATGCATACTTTATCACCAGTGCTATCATTTTTATCATTATTATTATTATTATTATTATTATTATTATTATTATCAACATTTCTCGGGTAGTTAACAGAAAACTGGACACTGAATGAGAATATACGATAATGTTGACGTCACATTTGATACAATTACGGAAATTAAATGATGATAGCTTTAGGGCTTTATTTTAAACTTATAAAATTGGGATGTCAGACTTTGAGATATATCTATATCAAATGAGACAAATATGGGATGACAGTTTGGAAAAGTTTAATGAATGAAAAGATAGCACAAATTGGGAGGAAGAAGGTTAGATGAAAATTTTGACGCCGCTGGTTTTCAAATATGTTCACAATTATCGCCTCAAGCTCTGATATATAAATGGTATAATTTTTGTTTCAATTGCCAGTTTTATATTGCAATCAGTAAACTTCCTCCATTATCTCAGTATTCCAATTAGTTAAACTACCCAGTTTCCATTATCAAAATTATCATTACATAGTGAGGAAGCAAAGTTAACCACTTCTTGTTAACTGATCAGTTAAACAATTATCAAGTGAGGAGAAAGTATCAGGGAGAAAAAAAAGAAAGACGAGTTTTTTTCCGTAATGGTTAGTTAAAAGTTTATTTTATTATTTTTTTCTTAAAAGACAAGTTTAAATTGAATAATAATGATACAATTTTAGTTCAATGAGGAGAATGTTATGATTTTATAAAAAAAACTGTAAAATTTTTTGATATTTTTTTATATAATTAAAAAGTTATTTATGAAATTTATGTCAAATGTCATAGAAATGAAATAACTTTTGTTAGTGTCATTTATTGATCACTGTCTAATTTCCATTTTTCTTTTCTTTCCGATATATCTTTCTTAAGTACTTAGATTTTAAGTTCTTAACTTAAAAAAAAAAAAAATGAAAATTAATGTTAAGTGTGGTATAATGAAAAAAATGAAGCATCGTTCCGAAATCAATATTGAATTGTTTTAAAATAGAAACAAAACAATCATTTTAATTCCTATTCTTATTATAATCTAAATAATTACTTTTTATTTACATTTATTAATTATTATTATCTTATACGATAACAATAATTAGCAATTGGTGAACTACCAAACAAAGATTGCAGCCTGTTATTATTTTATTCTTTGATAATACTTATGTTTGACTGAATAAGCTTAATTATTGATGTAGTCTACCTGTAATCAATTCTACAAAATCTAATTATAAAAATTAGCAATTCAAAAAGGTGAAAAGAAGAAATAATCTTGTTATAATCTAAAATTGTTAGAATTTTGCAGGATAGCAATTAAATAATTTTTAAACGGATGTTCAAACTGAATGCTAAATAAAAATATTTATAGGTGGTGTAATTATATTCAATCAAATATAACAAAATTTTTTGCTTTAATTCAAGCTAATCTAATAATAAAAAAATATTTGCATAATTTGGCATAAATTTTAATATAACATATAATGGCAAATAGATGATTAAATAAAATAAAGTTAAGATTTTAACCTCTGACCTAAGCAAACTTACATGAAATCTATAAAATCCTAGTAATAATCAATAACGATTTAAAAAAAAGAGAAACTTAAACGTCTCAATGAAAATTTCTTTTCGAAAATAATATGTTGATTAAATGAATAAGCAAAATATATTTAATTTTTATACCTCAATATTACATAGTAAATGCTTTAATACCTTTATGTACGTATTCTACACTTCGATAAGTAATAAATTTCAGAAATTGCCAAGTTTAATTATATATGAGTTCATTAATTTCAGGATTACTTAATCATCCGCCTAACTACGCTGAGGACTATTACGTACAATCCTAATTTTGTTAATCAACATACTCTAAGTATAAAGCAAAGTTCGATTTGTAATTAATAAGTAGTGCAAACATTGTATAATCAATTAAAAAATAGTCTTAGGATATCAAATGTATGCATAACTATTTATTACACCAAATATAAATCACGTACGTAATGCGTGCACGTAACATACTATATGTTGACGTAAACCCATTGATAGATAAAAATGATAGTTTTGCATAAATATTCAAACGATTATTTATTTAACGTTAATTATTGAAATAACCATTAATAATAAAATCATTCATTAATAATAAAATTTTATTTCAGAAATTTTCCAAGTTAATAACGATGAAATACTAATATAGTAAAATAATTTCATTACATTAGTGTTAATTCAAAAGAGATAATATTATTTCATATTGGGAGAAAGACACCATTCAAGAATAAGAACGAAAAAAGTTTAATTTTATTAAATTTACAAGAATTTAAAAAAAAATTCACAAAAATTTTAAAAACTTTTCAAGTTTTAATGCCAACAAAAATACAAAAACTGTCTATTAATATCAAATAGACTTCTTCTCTCTGTGCTTCTTTCTCTTTCTGTCTTTCTAACATTTTCTCCTAAAAAAAAATTACCAATCGAAAAGCGAAAGATTTGTCAAACAAAAAAAAAAAAAGGTTTCAGTCTTGAATTTGAAAAATATCTGAAATGTTCGAACTTAGAACTTTACTATGATCTTTGGTATAGCAATAAAATATTTTCTATTAAATTTTCTAAAGTTTTTCGAGGAAACTTTTAAATTTAATTATATTTCACGATATTTTCATTAGTATTTTAACTGAGATCTTTATAACATTATAATTTTTACAGCACTATGTATTTTATAATTTGCATGACAGATTTTTGTGATTTGTTTTTTGCTTATTTTAGAATTACTCTTACCATCCATCTCTTCAAAATACTCAAATTAAATAACAATAAAAAAAACAGTTTTAAATATACAATAAACAGCAGTTTAAATTGCTATTTAGAAACTATCAATTATGCCAAATTACTTATTATATAAACCTAATAAGCTAGAATTGTAAATTATGAGTAAAAATAGTTGTTTTTTTTAAAAAAATTTATCTAAATATTTCTTTAACTTCTTCTTTATATTTAAATTGCATTTAAGTGATAAAAAGCAATTAACACAGGTAATATTTTGATAGTAATATTTCAAAATTACCATAAGATACCAAAATTGTTAGCATTCGTCAATAGAATGATTAATTAATTGTCTAATAGATTAATTAAACCGTTAATGTAATTAGATTATTTAACACTTTTAGTATTTTTAATTATTATCAATATGACAGTGATACAATATTAAAAGCAATTAATGCTTAATTAGATCCTTTACTTTACACATTGCACTTACTTTTCTTTCTATGCTAAAAAAAAAGCTGAAAATGTGTTTTTAGGAATTTGCATTAATACCGATCCTGCTAGCCTATCCAGTATCGGCATGTTTTGGTGGTTTTGGCGGTCCTGGTTGTTGTCCACCACAGCAACAAGGATGTACTGGACCTATTTGTACTCCTGGTGGTCCTAGCGGTCCTAGTGGAGCATGTTGTCCACCACAGCAACAAGGATGCACTGGACCTATTTGTACTCCTGCTGGTCTTGGCGGTCTTGGCGGTCTTGGTGGTCTTGGTGGACCATGTTGCCCACCACAACAACAGGGATGCACTGGACCTATTTGTACTCCTGGTGGTCTTGGCGGTCTTGGTGGTCTTGGCCTTGGTGGACCATGTTGCCCACCACAGCAACAAGGATGCACGGGACCTATTTGTACTCCTGGTGGTCTTGGCGGTCTTGGTGGTCTTGGCCTTGGTGGACCATGTTGCCCACCACAGCAACAAGGATGCACTGGACCTATTTGTACTCCTGTTGGTCTTGGTCTTGGTCTTGGTGGACCATGTTGCCCACCGCAACAACAAGGATGCTCTGGGCCCATTTGTACTCCAGTTCAAACGGCTGGTGGTGGCAGAGGAGGGTAAGTTAATTTTAATTATTTGTTTTGACGAGACAACGGCGCAAAAAAATGCAGCAATAAAGGTTGGAAAACAAAGGAATTAAAACTTTTATTTATTTTTTGCCTGAAAATTAAATTATTCAATAAATTGAAAACCACAATGAAAAAAAAAACAGTTTAGTGCTTCTAGCATATTGAATAAAATTTGAACTAAAATTAATTGATTAGTTTTGAAATAAAAGAATTATGCGTATAATTTTATCTAATTAAAAAATTGAAATACATAAATACAAGCAGGTATACGATATAATTTCAATTAATAACTTAAAACTCATTGGCAATGCATTTGAATAAATTGTGTTATTGATTTGTTATTAATTTGGAACTTTTTAGGTATGTAGCACCACCATTTCCAGGTGGCTTTGGTGGATTACCAGGTAGTGCAGGGAGCTACGTAGCACCAGCACCACAAGCAGCAGAACCAATACCACAATCATCTTATAATGCACCACAAGCAGCACCACCAATACCGCAATCATCTTATAATGCACCTCAAGCAGCACCACCAATACCGCAATCATCTTATAATGCACCTCAAGCGGCACCACCAATACTGCAATCATCTTATAATGCACCACAAGCGGCACCACCGTCATTTTTTAATGCTCCTCAAGCACCACCACAACAATCACAGTCCTACAGCGAAGCTCGTGGACTGGCTGCTTCTCAGGTACAATACAAAGATTCCACTCTGGGTGGTGCATCACAATCACTCTTGCTATCACCGGAAAATCCATCGGTATCAGGACGATTTGCGGAAGGTGTTGAGCAAGCAACTCTCCCTGATGGTAAATCATTTTTTTTTTCTTATTATTTTTTGAATCTTTCACTTTAAATAATCATCATATTATTATAATAAGGAATGAAAAACTTTTACTTTCTGATATTGAATATATCAAAGTACCAATATTTTGCAAACTTCGAAAGTATCACAATATCAGTATATGTTAAAAAAATATATAAATAGATAAAACAGAATGAAGTAGGTTAATCTATCAACATTTTTGAATTCTTCGCTGTAACAAAGTGGTAATAAATCTATTGATTACTGAAATTTCATTATTATTATTATAAATTTCAGAAACAGAAAAAGAAGAAAGTTAACTAATAAATTATTATTATATAATTTTTTTAACTCAAACGTGCTATTCACAGCTTTTATATCATAATTTACTGATTGAATAGATTCAATTCTTCATAACATAAATATAAATTTTCAATATGCAAATTATTCATTAGCACTTCTATTAGCAAATTTTAGGCGGTACAATTGATCTTGCATCAGCATCAGCGGCAGCGGCAGCGGCAGCATCCATCGGTGAAGCGGAAGCGGTGCAAAGTGAAAATGCTCAGGAAGTAGCACAACAGTCATTATCAACAGTTCAACCACATGCAGTTCCAGCTCGTCGACAAAGTCTCAAGCGATATTCTCGATATTAATTTAAGAAAACCTACGAAATTATTTTATTCAAAATTCGATGGTAGTGTAAATTTTTCATTTTATGAAGTTATATTGTTGAAAACGAATAGAAATTTTTCCTTTTTCTTTCTGTTTTTCTTCTAGGACCATTAACTAAGCTATTTTCCAGTTTATCGATATCAATTATGTATCATGATTACATTTTTTTTTTCCCCAGATGTTAACATTTCAAAAATAAAAAATAGGAAAAAATTTTACAGAAAAAAAAAAATTAGAAAATTTATTAAATAAAATTATAAAAATTTTCAAATATCATAAATTTTTAAAACTTTAAAATTTGCCAGAGTTTCTAATTTTTTTAAATTATTTTTTTTATTTTCCTATAATTCAAAAAAAAAATGTTTTTATAATACTCTCGGTCTATTTTATCCCTTCTAATTTCATTGTATCAGTTGTTTTCTGCCCCATATCTTCACAATATTATCACAACAAGATGGTATTAAGAAAAGTATTAAATTCATTTTTGAGTAACACAAATTGTAAAATTATCATCGGAATATCATTCGATATGTCACATTTTTTTATTTTTTTTTATAAGGAAAATAAAAAAAAAATCAGTTTATATATTCTTATTATATTTTGTTTGTAATCACTGAAATAACTAAATGTTGTGCAACTAAATACTATCAAAAACTCTGAACTGTAAATGTTTGATATTTGATGAGAAGTTGCAACTAACAATTTGAAATTAATTGATTGATGATGCATAAAATTATCTATATCAATATTACAATTATTTGAATTACATATAAGTGAACTGCAAACTGTAATCGAAATCAATTAATTATTAGTTCCACTACATTAATTAATCTATAAATTGCTTCGCACATGAGCCAAAATATAATATTTGTTGAATCATTTTTGAAAAATTCTAATATTTCAGATCAATTAATTATTACTAAAATCATTGTCATATTTAGGATTTATGTATAGAATATCCCTAATCAGATGCAAAGTAAGCATAAGAAAGCTATTCTACAATAATTACTATCACTCGTCGAAATGAATAGATACAACTTAATTAATTTATACAAACCTTCCCTATATCACAAAAAATTATTTAACTTTCTATTTAGAAGGTAATTTTTGAAAAGTTTCAAACTATAATTGTATTAAAAAAAACTTAAGCTTCAAATATTTATTACGTTCCCATTATCATTAGTTAATAACAACGCTGAAAAAATGAAAATTTCTGGAACATTGTTTCATGCTGGAAAATGAGAAAACGAGCAGGAAAACCGGTATTTTATAGGGTGGAACAATCTTGAAAAAGAAATCCGGTTCAATCCATTAAATAGATATGCTCACAAATAACTTAAAGCATATGTATGATTTCTATATGATATTTAATTAAAAACGAATAAGTAACCTGTTGCAGTGTGATAAACAATTGATAAGTCTGATTGTTTGTTTCTCATTGTTCCACTTTATGATCGGTGTTGATTAATGATTAATTGCAAGTTCATGGTTTGATATGGCAAAATGATTTAAATGAGATGAGTATGATTAGAAGGGATTAACAAATGTATCTGAAATTTTGACCTAATAAATAATTAAAGATACCTTACGTAATTACACTCTCATAACAAACGCCTAAAACTTTATAAAATTTTGTCATCTGCCTTATAATGATAATAATAAGTTTGCAAAATTTTATCTAATTTTAACACTCTTTTGAGAGATTTTTAAATAGTGAAATAAATTTTACAATTCGATCACATTTAGTCAGTTTTTTAATTTGTTTAACAATTTTAAATGATTTCTGTTTTATAACGAATATTTTAATAATCCAAAACTCATACTGATAGCACTGACATAGACTACTAACTTTAATCAGTCTGCTTGATAATAAATTGATGAGACTTGTAAAAAAATATCACAAGAAGTTTACTAAACTGTATAGGAAAGTCAATATATTCAAATTTTTAATTGCTTTTGTTCTTGTGATAATTCGCTTTATCATTTATGAGGATGAAGTTCGAAGCGTAGGATCATTAAAGATATCATAATATAATGAAGAAAGAGAACCGGTTTAAATCCGGTTTTTTTTTTTTATAAAACCGCATTGATACTATCAAAACCATTCGATCTAATTAGTGGCCATTATATCTTATTGATGAATTGCAGAAGAATGTTAAACATTTAAATTTATCGTCATTTATTGCTAAGATGATTAAAAAGTTTATGCCGCATCTTTTAAATTCTAACTTCGTATGTATATAAGACTTCCTTATAATACTTTGACGAATGCTTCAATGATTCGAATTTTGTTTTTGGTATTTTTTACAATTTTCATACTAATAGCACCAACATTTCCTTCACATACCAACTTGTCATAAATATTTTAATCACTCTGTCTGACGATAAGTCGATGAAATTTACAAAAATTATTATAATAAAATAATCATGAAATTACCCACTACTATTTATTTCTTCGCCAAAGAAAGTTATGCTATTTCAATTACAAACTTTAGAAGAGAGAGAAGAAAAAAAAAAACCCTTTAAGCAAAAAATTTCTGAAAAGGAGGAAAAAAAAACTCTAAACATTACATTCAATTTCTTTAAATTTTATTGAGCTTTATTTTCGAAAAAAGATTTTAATAAATCAAAATAAAACGAAGTGATGTTTTTTGAAAATGCTTAACTGATATTCTTAATAAAAAAAAAAAAAAACTATCAAGTGATATTACTGATTTCTTCATCTTTTCAATTTATTCAAACTCATTCAAATTGATGCTATTGAAATCTATGGATAAAGAAAAAATGTGATGAAAATAAGATATAACAGGAGAGATAAGGACAGGCAATGAACAAAATATGAGTGAGTGATAAGGGTGATAAGGTGCTTATGATAGCTTTAACTTATCATTTGGATCAAAATGCCATGCATCTACTTATTTTTCTTTTTTTAAGGATGAGATTGTTGCATTTAGCACCGATAAAAAATTACTCTCAATCACTGCTACAATGACTGGCCGTTCATATTTCGGCATTCTCTCACTCTCTCACAGCACCATTTCCTTTTGATTATTACTTCCTTTCAATCTTTGTCTTTTCTTTCTTTCTTGTTCTCTGTTTTTCTTTTTTTTTTCTAAAATTTTCAGTCATTATTACTACTATATAGTAGTAATAATAACACATATTAATCCTTTAAACCAGAAAAACATAATATTCCCAAACAAGTTATCTCATATAGTCCCTAACTCATCTTTTATTCTCAAACTAGATGATATTTCGTCTTACTCTCAGTTTTAATTAAATATCTTGTTCCATCTAATTTCCTTAATCTATACATGTATATTTTATTTCTCTATATATGTATATTTTATTTCAAGCGATCTTTCTCGTACCCTCTCTGAAAGCATTATATTTCTCACTGTAAGAACAGTAATTGTAATGTTTATCCATCAATGATTATCCAACTTTTCTAGCTTCTTAGCAGTCTAATTCGAGTTGTCAAATGATTCTTATGAATTCTTAGTCTTTTTAATTGTAGCCATAATTTAATATTTAAGAATTTTTGATTGTTTTCTTTTAACGAATATTCCTGATTAGCTGATCATTTATTATTAGCATATCAGTTATTTCTTGGAAAACACTTCCAAGTGCTATCTCTGTGTGATTTTACGCTTTTTGGTAATTGGTCAAATTTATTTTGAGTAATTTGGCAACAACTATCATATTAACTGAGCTAAATAATCTTTCAGAATATATGTTTTGGTTTATCTTTGTAGACTTGTACCATCTCTTAGTTTCAGATAGAATAACAGAATGGCACTATTATAAATAATTAACAGGTGATATTATTCCAAGTTAACATATCTTTCTGCTTCAGGTCAAAATTTTCAGATGTTGAATCGCCAAGTACAAGCTTGGCGCACATTATGTAGGTTTACGGGAATAGTTAGTAAGAATACGCGAAGCTGTACGACAAATTTTTCTGATAAGATGGAGAAAAACAAAAAAAAAGGTATGCAAATCTTGATTTCTCCGTTTTTTGTCGAAGATTAAATTTGAAATTTAAACTATAATTTAGGTGAATTTTTTTACCCAATAAAATTATTCGATGTAAATCGAAGTACTACTAAACATTATGTTTTTCTTTTTTTTCCGAAACTTTTTAATGAGTATTTTAAGAATTTGCGTAATTATGTTCAGCAACGATTTGGAAAATTGATGATATGAGGCGAGAAAAATTAGCTAGATTTGGTCGATATTGTGCGGAATGTTTACCAAAATTTGTACAAAAAGTACAGGTATTTTCTTTCACATTATCAATATGTTCACTCTACCAAATAGTAATGTTGTCCTTTGAGTCTTTTTAATTGTTTTAGGTTACATATTCAGCTTTTATTTGCTTAGTTAATATTATGAACATGCTTCAGAAATCTGATATTTTTGAAGTTTCCATATATTGACACTTTCATCGAATATCAGAAAATAAAATTTTCAATTCCTCTAATATAACGATCCATTAAGGACTTATTACAACTGATTACACTAGATATTAAAATAGTTTTAATACAGTCTGAAAGTTTGAATTTCATCGAGTGGATAAACTGGTAATTAACTTCATTCTTGCATTCTTCTAATAATTCTGAAATAGCTTGCTATTTTGCAGTTTGCCGCTGGAGATGAATTAGAGTTGTTGATTCATCCAAGTGGAGTGACACCCGTGATAGCATTTTTGAAAGGAAATCATGCAGCGCAGTTTACTAATATCGTATTTATTACTGGAATGGACGTCCCTTCACGAAAATTTCGTTTTGAGGTTTTATTAGTTTTGCTTATTTATGCAAAATTGAAAGCATCTTCCATACATAAGGTTGCTTGGTAATTTGTTCTTGAACAATTTAATGGCAAATGACTTAAGTAAATTTATTATTACGTTGACAGATTTTTTCTTTATTTGATAACTTGATTTCCCGTATCAGACCAGGTTAGACAGTATTTTATAACAGTATTTTATTGTACGATAACAACTGGCAGTATGCAATTATGTAAAATGATGGAAGCAGCTAATAACATATTTCTCAATAGTGTTGTTATGCTGAAATCTCATACATGCACAGTGCAGTGAGCAATATTTAGAACTGTTTTTGTTAGGACTGTTCTTCCTTTCAGTTGTACTTTTTTAGGTCATTTATGCTTTTCTTTCGATACGTTTCAATGCACGCATTCGTGTCCGCACATACACCGATGAAATTGCACCGTTGGAGTCAATAACACCGATTTTTAAAGGAGCGAACTGGTAAGTCAAAATTTGAATTCAAAGTTTCTTTAAACACATGAACTTCCAACTTTTTCCACCCTTGTTACAGGTATGAAAGAGAAGTTTATGACATGTACGGTGTTTGGTTCAATAATCATCCAGATTTACGGCGTATCCTTACCGACTACGGTTTTGAAGGTCATCCATTTAGGAAAGACTTTCCTTTGTCCGGTTATGTTGAGGTATGTTTTCTTAATTTCTGAATACACAATAGTTATGAAAGTGGACGTCACTTCCAACGTTACGTCACAGGTTATTGGATTTGGTTTTCAGCTGAGATATGATTCGGAGCTCGGTCGATGCGTATATGAGCCAACTGAACTGGCACAAGAATTCCGTAAATTTGACCTAAAAACTCCGTGGGAATTGATGCCTAATTTCCGTAATGAATCTATGATGTCGCGTTATGAACAAGTCAGTTTAGAGGAACCTAAAGAAGAAGACGAAAAGGATAAGAAATAATTTATTTAAATTTAATGTAAACAATGTATATAACAAATACACTAGAAAAATCTATTAATTTGCAAAGCGAGAGCTGAAGATATCTGAACTGATCCAGTCCTTTTAGAGATAGGTGGGACAGATAAGGGAGAAGTAAGCAGAAGATGATTTAGACCAAGTGTACAACAGCAAAGATATCATTTGAGGTAGAACAGACAAAGTTAAAATTTTGTATTTTTTTCGTGATATTAGAAAAGAAGCTATATTTCCGTCAATTTTATCACGTTCGGTGTATACTTTTTTATTCCTTGTAGGAATCTCCATGGAAGTCTTTACCACTTAATTCAAATAATAAACGTGCTTCATTTTTATTTGTTAACGCATGTTGTTTGTCCAAATCATTTTGCACTTCAGTATCTATCCTTTCGTTGCATTTTGCTCCAATTGACCAAACTTCAACATTTTTCATTTTAAACGTTGTTTCACCAGCCAACCAACATTTTTCAAATGTACTAATTCCAGAAGTGGAACTACCATTGCTAAAATCCTCATGTAGAAAGAAGGACCAATTCTCACCATGTCCACCTATACCCTGAAAATTTTCTTTTGATTTAATGAAAGTTTGTAAAATTCAAGCTAAATAAGACTCAGGTAGATACAAATTGCTGAATGAAGTTGTTAGGATAAGTTAGATTATACATAAAGTATTTGTATGCTAGATTTCTAAAGAGATGAGAGATTGCTTTCGCAAGTCTAGTCACTATTGGTGTGTAATATTGTTAGCAGTAATGAAGTAGGTGTGGCAAGTAATCTATCATTTCGGAAATTATGAAATGAAGACGTACGATTCCATTTGGCAATGAAACTTGACCAGCATTGAGATAGCCAAAATTATTATTATAACCCGTAGCGCTGTAAATATGTAATTTTTGTCGGTCTTCAAACAAGAAGCATTGATTATCACCAGTATGTCGTGGACCACAAATGAAACCCTGACTGGCGAATGCACCAAAAACACGGTCGGATGTTGTTTCAATGACAATCAAACATGGACCTGCACGATCCACACTTTTCATTAATTTCATAAAACTTTCACCGTGTTTTTCACTAAAATTAATATTAGTATACAAGTTGTTTCTTCCAAGAATTCCCGTCAAGGTCTTAGTCTTATGCTTAGATTCCATCTCGAAGTATAAATTAGATCTGCAGTTCATTAAAAAAAAAATAAGGGATGTTTGTGTAAAAAATAAGGACTAACTTGTGTGATGTTCCTATGGAGAACTTCCTATCTTCAACTAAGATACACTACTCCAAATATTCTTTTATAGAAAATGTGTCAGAAGCATTGGAACCAGTGAATTAAGATGTAATCTGGGGAGGGGGAATTTCACTTATTAGTTATGAAACTAGGTTATGAGACATAAGATAATGTATGAGTTAATTGATTGATTGATGTTGTAAGTAATGTGCAACATCGAACCTTGAAAACAATAGCTTCCATCGATCTCTTAATTCTTCGGGTAAATTTGCATATACAAGACACAGTGCAGCATGAGTAAGCAAGGATTTTTCACTAACTTGTTGTAAAAGTTTCGCACTGTCTCGCGGTCCAATAAAGATCGACTCACTGATATATTTCACTACAGTCGATAAGATAATTTGGCTTTGCAGAAAATTACTTAAGGTAGATGGATCCAATTGTAATGGAATGCCTTCCATAATAAAATCAACGAGGAGTGTGATGCTTCGTGGATCTAACTGTTCACATTTGAAAAATGAAGAAATCATAACCTCTATAATCTGAAATATGGAAAATACGTTAATCCAATCAACTGACTGCTACTAATAGGAATTCGAACGAATTGTAAGATTTATTGATGTTTATTGAAGTTACGACCTGCTTAATTGGTTGGTTAAGTTGTAAGAGGGCTCTTGCTTGTTGATTGAAATCACCAAGTATCATTTCAGCGAACTGTACAAAACGTTCCAGCGTAACCTAAATTTTATTTTTTATTTTATTACATTAAGATTTCCAGGTAGCAAATCCAATAATTATCAAGCGTATAATTTTCATTGACTGATATGTATCACTGTAATTTCATTGACTGATTGATGGATTTCTGTTTAGGCACGAGAACTTACGACATTATCAGGTTTACTTAGTGAATCATATAAGAACAATTGTAACTGCGGGCATGTTGTTGATTCGGTATATTTCTGGAAAAGTACAAACTGGTAAAAGTTAATTTTGCGAAGATATTCATTGCATTTTAAATCTTATAATGCAAAAAAATAACCAAGAGCTTACAAAGAAAACGGATTTGTCAATGGTTGATCCACCATTAGCTATTTCATAGAATCGATTTTTTAACGATAGTTGAAAATCGTTTATATTGTTCTTCTTGATTTTGGAGTAATTTTTTACCTTGCTCCCGGCTTTACCCATTGATTTCGTTGGAAAATGTTTCATAAAAAACGAAGAATTCCAAATTTAATTACAACAAATCCTAGCCATAAAAATGAATTTTAAAAGTCGAGCTGAATTGAAAAAACAAAGATTAATTATCTTGGAGCAATAAAGTAAAGACTGAAATTAAAATCTGAAGGTGAGCATGGAAAAATCTGAGAAATAAGAAGCATACAACTATGAACAATTAATTTACTTTATTGCTGGAGAAATTGATAAAATTAAAAAGCAAAATCGATGTGAACACTAATGAATAAAAGCAAAGCAAGAATAATACCTGGAAAACAATAGTTTGTTACATGCAGTATGAAATTCAATTTCAAGTAAAATGTCCAGATAGCTGCAAGAGCAATAAGTTTATTTATCAGAAGCTAATTTCAAAGAAGAAAAAACCAGAAGCAACCAATATTTTCATGATACCAGATCAAAATATCACATCGTCGGTCAGCACTGAAACCACAAAACCAGCAACAGTTCCACTCACGCAGCTGTTGAGATTGTCGTCTTGTTAAGTGGTGGTCATGTGATTCTGGATGACATATATTGGAAATTCCTACATTATGTGGTCGAGTCGATATACTTTGATGAAAAGGTTGAAGTGGGAGTGTGGTATGACTCACTCGAGATCCGACGTCGAGACTATACGTTACCCAATCTTTGTAGGCTAAAATAATGGGTAAAGGATAGAATGAGTTTCGACTATTTCTGCAACTATTCTTTTATATTACAGCCGTTAAATAAATGTTCTATTTCTATCAGTGCCTTATTTAGAATATAACGTAAATAACCTGACTCTCATTTGTAATTCAAAAATTTGAATCACGTATACATGTTTGGCCGGAAAATGTTTCTAGCATATCAGAAACACTGAAACATACCAGAAATAATTGGGTATGTAGCGGGAAGTGGCTAAATAGAAACTTGGCCAAAATATTATATGGAATTTAGTTTAATTCCTGTTTTTTAAAAAAAAAGGAAATCAAAAAAGTAGACTGCTTTATTTTCAAAATTTTTATGATATAACAAACTGGAAGGAAAATTTTAGACGCAAACTTCTATGCTTGGATTTGTATGCATTAATAACAGATTTGGCAGTAAGCAATCCGGAATCCCGTTTTATTCATGACACTCGAAGTGAGCAAATACTGTTGCCTACACTTCGAGAATAAGAGGAAAGAATTCGTCTAGCAAATAATATTTAATGTCTTTTTGTGCAGCCTGCGAAAGCGAAAATAGAAATAAATGAAAATTCATTTGGAGATTAAATTCAAAGTGGAAACAATATTTCTTATTTGTTGAAATCACAGAACCATTATTACATCACACCTGAATCTATGTGCATTCACTCAAGTTGATTATCTGGACGTAAAGTCAGTGTAGGTTGTACAGTATAAGTATTCATAAAAATAAGAAATATTGTTTGTGTATTTAACAAATAATAGTCCAAAATAATGAAAGATGAAGCAACTGCTGACAATGCATGGAAATTACCACTTACTATTATTATAAAATATGCCAAATTTTCTGTTGCAAATCCTAAAATTAAATGAAAAAACTTCGCGGTCTAAACAAATAGGACTGGAGTATTTGAGGCAATGAGAGAAATTATATCAGTATATGTGAGACAAATAATTAAACTTTAATCAATAAAATCTATGGACTGAAACTTGTAGTCTATAGATTATGTAAATTTTTTGCAAAGTAGTAATCACTTAGAATTCGCATGTAAACAATTCAATTTTTGAAAACTGATAACAAATACTCCAAATGCTGAACGTACATGATAAAGTTTCTTCACAACAAAGAAAAGTTAAGAACAATGAAAAGCACGTTGTTAATAATTTACTAGTTAATCAAGGATTTTCATTTTTTTTTTTTTCGGAAAACAGATGAGCTTACAAGGTCCATAGTAATCGAGAGTAACACCTGCAATAAATGTGAAATAAGAATTTATTAAATGAATACTGGAATACTATCCACTGTAGCATATAGATTGTGATGTATGCGGATATTACTATGTCATTGTAACCTCTAGAATAAGTCCATCATACCAAATGCCAGCATACTGCAATTAGTATATTTATTAAATAGATATTAGCAAACTGAAACCGAATTAAAGTACAGTTCGACAATTTCATGTACTAGAATATCAAACTAATAACTTTGATGTTCTTCAGATACTTTATGCTGATATAAAAATTATGTCTAGTTTTTCCTTCAAAAAAAAAAAAAAAAAACTAATGGTTTGGAATTATATAATTGTTGAATAATTCAACACCTAGTTATATTATTCAAACTACGCTTTCAATAACTCCTCTCTCTTTTCAATTCTATTTCTTGCTATTTTCTACAGTGATATGGTGCTAATAATAAAGCAACGCTCTACCGTAAGCAGCTCATTATGGTTCCGGTTCAACTCCAGCTTGTGTCATTAGATCAGTTATGCTCTTTTCCAGCTCATCAATACGTCTTGTCATATCATCTATTCGACCAATAATTTGATCAGACATGCGCTGAAAACGATCCTGCGTTTGTTGCAATACTCCTTGTATCTGAAATGTATGTTTTCTTGTTTTCTGTCTAAAATCTGTAAATATTATATGTGATTTCCTTCATGAAAATCTGAGGGCAGAAAAGTGGTCTTCTATTTCGATTGTTTAGTCACAACTGTGTTACATACTTTATTTATTCTCTATAAATTGCTCCTTTTTCTATACGTTTCATTCATCACCATAGATAGGGAAAAATGTATTCAAAAATAACAGCATATTACATCGTAAAATAAAAAATGATATCACTACAAATCATCTTATCCAAATGTTTTCTTTATAAAAAAAAAAAAACCAACCAGTGAAGTTAGCTCTTGCAAACTTTGCTCGCTAGATCTTGCTTCTGGCAAAACTATGGAATCGCTTTCACTGACCTTTTTTGTCACCTCATCATTACTCTTTTCCGTATTTGGTTGTTCTTCATTCTCCATTTTATAACTTTCTTTTTCGTTTCTATAATCCTCGATTTGGATAACTGGAATGAAGCTATCAAGTGACGCATTCAAATCCTTAGGATTTCCCTGTGTCCGGAATAGGAGAAAAAAAAAAGACTAACATCCACGGTTAAAAAGGAAATAAACTGAACTATTCTAGAGCTTGTAAAAATAAGAAATGAGATTCATTACATTATAATATATTCTATCAAATCAGTGAATCAGAAGCCTTTACGCTGCACTGAATAATTCCGAAAATATTCAAATTAAGATATTTTTGAGTGAACAAATAAAATCTGACGATAACTGAAGCATATTCATAACATAATATTTGCTGCTAATAAAAATTATTTAAATAAACAAAAAAGTTTTAAGCAATGATAAATTAAACTAGAAAACGAACTTCCAATATAAAATAATGCTTGAAAGAAATACAATATTAAGAAACTTTATTGTATAATGTGGTCAATAAGCAGGGAATGTGCGAATTCTAACTCGTTACATGATTATTAGAAAAAGTTGATTTAACAAGTTGTACAGGACAAAGAGTACTGGAACAAATACATCCAAACATCAATTGACATTTACCATTTTAGAAATAATAATGGTTTTCGTAATTAATTCATTACTTTTAATATATTCTATCAATCAATGAACTGAAAGCTAAAAAAAAAAAGAAAAGAAGTCATAGTTCATCCAATAATAAATAAACTACTTTTGTACCTGTTGATTAAATGATTGCAGGAATCAAAACTCAGTTTTTACACACGTACATACATACGCACACAAACATATGACGTGCACGCAGATACATGTGATTATTACCGATCATTATCACTGTCATCAGCAGCTACAGGAAAGCCATATAAAAGACTAATTTGCTTATCCACAAAAGCTGGGATATCCGATTCTGGGATAAATTCTGATTCCTTAATTATCCGACACACGGCTATAACTTCAACGACATTTATGCCTTTAATCCAAATTCGTCCATTCATACCACTTGTTATTTCGAATTTTATATCTTTACCAATCAGCGATAATAGCCTTGAAGATGGTGAAAGAATTCGACGTACAAGATTTAGACTTGTTTTAAAAAGGAAGCCTCCAGATGGTAATAGACCCATACCGCGTGCTCGACCTTCACCATCAATGCATGTAAGCTGAAATTTCAACTTTTAACTGAAACCTTACAACTCATAAAAATGTTACCATGTTCACAACGCCAATTTTTTGTTGTTTGATTTTTATGAGTTTTCAATTATTCCTTTAGACACTGTAATTCACATTCAGAATAATAATAAACAAGTATTTGATCAGAAAGGTGGGTTGGCAATAGAACGGTCGGTAATGAAACATACTTCTGGTTCAAGATGTTTTGTTGCAGTAGTGACAGAGGCATAAATCAAATCACCAACTTTCAAGTTTGGACGATTACGTCTTGTGGCACCTAGAAAATAAAAAACGAAATAATCTTAAATAAAGCTGAAATGAACCTGAAGATTAGGAAGATCCAAAGAACCGAGGTTTGCATTTTTTGTCTACGTTCTCTAAAAATAATCACCATCAATATTTCTGTTATTATTTAATGACGAAGCTATAACGATGCTCCGTAATAATTTTTAGTGAATCAAAATTTAACTTTAAATTTATCTCTGTTGAAGAACTGCTGTAAAATTAATTTCATAATTACTAAACAGTCTCACTCACTGAACCTAATAAAGTTGAAATATGTAAAATCAAGTGTGCAATTAAACCTTCAAAAGAGAGGAAACTGATAAATGCGATGTCTGCAGAGCCAATATCAATTTTAAATGTTTCACCATGAGTAGAAGTAACAATCCCAATTACACGATCACCCTTTTGTGGGATATATCTGAAAAATATTTTTTGTCACCTTTTATTCATTCCTTTCAAACCTAAGCCAATTTGCTAAAAATCAAGTCCGAGATTATATCTAATTAAAAAATGAAACTAATCTACTGCTTAATTTTCACATTTCAAAATTTGATGAGATAAAACCTTCGTGAATGAACTGCCATCCATTGTTTACCATGAGATATACGCCGTATTCCTGGTTGTACAACTAACAACTTATCAGGATTATTAATTACTCGTTCTAGACCACAACCAATTATCTAAAATGAGTCTGTTTCACAAATAAGATGAAATATGTTATTACTAAACAAGATCAAGTTTAAGAGAAAATATTATATCTAAAACTTTTAGAACCAACTTCTGTTCGTTTTTCACCAGGAACAACTAAAGAAACGATATCGCCTGGGAGATGAATCTCTGCCATTTAATCACTTCCGCAAGCTGACCATTTTAGACCATATACACTAAAACTGGTTACTAGTTTCTCTAAAAACAATGTTCATGCCAAAGTGATGGAGAGAAATAAGCGTATCATCAACGATAACTCAACATGATCGCTAACGAATAAATCAGACAAATGAAACATATAGATCCAATTAATAATAATTTGTCGATCTGTTATATAAGAAATGTTAAATACAACAGCTTAACTTAGCACAAAAGGTATTCAAATTGATATAGCAAAACAACAACGCATTTAGCCAAACTTAGCAACTTCGAAATATGATGTTTATTCAATAATACGATTTATAATACACAATGAGATCATTTCAAACAAAATTTATACGAATCTGGCAGCATCTCTTCAATTTTCCGACGAAATTTACTGCTAAACTGAAACCTTACTGTACTGCTTGTAATTAAGGCTGCTTTAATAATACGAACTACTTCTTCCGGATTCGCTTCAAGCAAGCTGCAATCAGCCAGTAAAACTGTTATAAAAGGCATCTGAAATGAAAAAAAAAATATTTTAAAATTTAACACTGATTCTTGGAAAAATCACCATATACTTTGCATTTGTTTTCTTCGACTAGTAATGATCTCAAATGGATCGAATATTTACGAATTTATTGTACTGCTCATTTTCTATAAATCAAAGCTGATCTGACTGAGTAGAGTAAAAAATTGTAAGATCTGGAACATTAATTATATATACAGTTGAAAAATTAATGATGGATTTTTACAGCACAAAATATTCATAAAACATGTTTTACACTGAAATTAATATTACTATTAGCAAAATAAGTTTGAAGATTTTGACGAAAGTCATAGGCATGCAAAAGTTAAGGAACTCACAAATACCATGCTTTCAACAATTATTTTGAAGGAAAACTGAAGATACCTTATCAGCCTTAATTTTCAGACAAATTTCTACAATCGAAGAAACGACTGTTGTTGCAGACAAATCCAGAAACAGCATATGTGGACAGTATACCAAGGACCATTGCATTATATAATCTGGATTATTCAAATTATTGAGGGATAATTTGAATATTTCTAATTTTCTCTCCACTTCTGGCTGAAATTGAAGAACAATTGATAAAATTTTTGCGTTTAATGTGTTACCTATTTTGAATACACGATTCATTAAGTTGTGATTTTTTTTCTTTAAAATGCAGTAACCTAAATGAAAACAGAAAGATTATAGAAATAATTAATAGAATTCTACGACTATAATAGTATCAAAAATTATCTTATGAGGCACGAATTTGAATTTAATTTAGTGCTCGTCTCCTCCAGTTGTAACTAGTTTGTTGTGTAGAGTAAAAATAAAACACTGAAATATTAACTACATATACCGTTGGAAAATTAATAAATTAGTAATAAAAAATTTGCGCAAAATATTCACAAAACATATTTTACAATGAAATTAAATAATACTACTAGTAGTAAAAAAAATTGAATGATCGATATTCCTGTCTGGTAATAAATATGAAACTACAGTGTTTACTACTAATTACTAATGAAAATGTTGTGTCTCATTTGATGTCTTAACCATTAGCAAGAGAGTAACTGATTAAAACACTAGGATCTATATATTTGTAAATTGCAGATAAAATAAGAATTTTGCCTGGCTTATTAAATGAAACGAATAAATCTGTAATTCTAGAAACCTCTGAATGTGTGTTGCTGAACTGAAGTATTCGTCCTTTAAATGTCAGTGATAGAAGAAAAATTAAAACAAAAGTAAAAAAAATCAATCACTTCGCCTTACCATATTGTCCATTTTGGATATAGCTGTACATGATAGATCTAAATATTTTAAGTTCCTACAAGCATGGATTATTTCTGAAGCGTGGTCAGAATTGATTTCGGAGTTGAAACTTAAATCCAGCACTTCCAAAGAAATTATTTCTGAAAAAAATATTGATTCAAAAAACTTAGCAAAGTGATAAAACTGCTACCAATTGAACTTGGATTAGAATAAATCTCTATTATCAAAACAACTGGAGAGTAATTGTTATATTTCATTTTTTTTAAACAATTTGACTTTTGTCTTTACATAAAACTCGGACTATGAAACATGTGCACAAAAACTATGTACATGAAAGCTTAAATCTAACGCAAGTAGCTGAGTAAAATAAATCACAAAATATAAGCAAATTACATAATTAAATTATGCAAAACTATAGTATAATATGTTTAAGACTTTTTCTGCATATGATAAAATTTCAGCTTTTTAAATATATAAATGTATTTAAATATTTAAAACTTACTTTTAATCTGTTGTATTAGACAATTTATAACATTTCGATTTATATTACAAGATGCAAGTTTAAGATCTGTAAGATTCGGACACAAGCTAACGAAAGTGACCACTTGATCCGAACCATTATCACTGAGATTATTATAACTCAAATCTAGTTTGGCCAATGCATCACAAACAGAATAATCATTAATCAATTGTCGAAGGTGTCCACTAAAATGTATAATCTTACACAAAATTCGAATGTTCAAGAAACAACTCGTCTATCGTCACATTGATAAACCCAAAAATTTTACAAAGACAGAAAAAACCTTTCGCATTAAAATGAAATCAAATGATCAAATGATGGTTTGAAAAAAACCGAAATTGAAGAACCTTATATTATATGGCCTACTTCATCCATCAGCAGAAAGAAAAAAAAAAAAAAGAATCCGAAGAATTTGAACTATAAACGCAAATAATAACATTTGACTTCTAACGAACCGATCTACAACTTCGCTATAAATTTGAAGAATACGTCTTAGCAATATTAAATATACCTTTTTAATGCGCAACAAGGTAAACTCAGTGACGTGAGATGTCGGACGATTTTTGAAATTAAATCGATAAATGATGTTGATAGTGAATTGCCATCCAGATAGAGTTTTAGTATATTTGACTGCAAAACTTCAACAGCCGCGCAAACTGCATCATCTTGACCAATATTCATTTCACGTAAATCCAAAAAGCCATTCGTACTTTCTGAGAGTGCATGTAACACATTTGTCATTAATCCTACAAAATGACACGGTATTGTATGCAAAGCAAAGTTTGATGTTACAAATACGTCCAAAAAATATCATATGACACTAAAAACTAATAGTTCTCGATGTTCTAACAAGTAACTTTCTTACATTCCAAATTAGCTTGCTCAGATGTTATGTAGTTACTATAGCATGATTATTATAAAATAGTGCTTTAAACAGTAATTTAGAGCAGTTACTTCTCGTCCGCTTTGCATAAATTTGAGCAGCAGACGGTTTTGCCAAACCGCTTATGATACACTTTAGTATTTTCTGATCTCCTAGTACCAACTCAATTGGCGTATCATCTGACAGTTCGCAATCATCATGGCATATAGTCATCGATGTATACTCCACATCACCTTTCAGTTCTTCCTTGCAACGTTCTCGGATATCGCCTATGAAGCAGGAACTGAAATTATGATGATGGAAAATGATAAGATTCACAAACCCGATACAGCGCAATGGTGACGAAAATCATCCACCATTAAGGTTTCATTTATAAAAACAAAGAACTTCCATCCACTAGAAAAAGAACTGTATTTGGTAATAATTGATGCGATTCGATAGAAAATGCGGCAAGATTTTGTACTGAAAATGATTTATAAACCTTGCAAATGGCATCCCTTTAGTCTTTAAATGTGTGCCATCATCCTTTGTCATAATAATTTTGATGAAAATTTGATTTTTAACACTTGGTGGCGTGAAGGGTGATGACGACACTCTGCTAACAATAGTTGAGTTTTCCACATTGCAACGTCTAGGATGTTTTAATTCGGTACTTGAAATGTTTCTACTTTGTGTGCTTTGCGCTGCTGGACGTGAGATCACTATATCCTCATCTGAATCTTCTCCAGAGTTTCTGAAAATGTAATTTAGTATAATCCAAACGTAGCTTAACGGAAAGAAAATTAATTTGAAGCAAAATGATTCAAACGAAACCATGCTGTAGCAAAGGTTATACATTCTAAATATTTTAGGAAAATCTTTAGGAACAAAGTACCAACCTTTTTAAGCTCCGTCGGTTTCGTTTGCTTTGATTAGATTCCGGAGCAGTAAAAAGATCAGGTAATGCAGTAGAATTAGAATTACATAATAATTCATCACAAGCCGAAAATTTTTGTTTCATCTGAGCGATCTCTTCAGCTGAAACTGATTCTCACTTTGACGTAACATAGATTTCAATAAAGATTGAAAATTTTGAAAATAAAAGTTGCAAAATCTTTTATAATTATTCAAAATTCTTATGTCTAATTAAATAACCTACAATGAACAAGTTACAATCCTGCAAATTTCTGAATTTTACTGTTCCATAACTTACCACACGAAAAACAAGAAACATGTATAATTAGAAAAAGAAAAAAAAAATGAAAAAGATTACTTTCAGTTCCCGCAATTTTCTGCTTGCTTAATAAAGAAGAAGAAAAATTTGAAGATGATGAAGCTTGGTGAGCAGAAGGTGATTCAGTGAAATCATTAATGTCGACAAGTGAGCCATCCACTGTTGGCGACAAATGTCTTGTTTGCCACATTTCATCCTTTTCATCCTATAATCTGACACTTGGATATTTTAAATTTTCAGAAAAAGAAGGGATGACTTATATTGCTGCATATCCATTTCCAACTTCGTGACAATTAATGAAACAATCTCGAATTTCATTGCGACAGTTCATAAATATAGTCGCGTACGGCTGTGTCAAAACATTCCAAGAAATCCATGAGGTAGTATATGCCATATATTACATAGCAAAGTGGGGATAAACAAACTATTATTAGCATATATCAATAGTGGAAATTTACATAGCCATTACATGACATTAAGCAAGACTGATTTAGTCGATAGATACATTTAGAACAAGATATTTCAAAACACTGTCATGCACCACAGTAATATATTCAAATGAAATTTAATGAATAAAAACAACCTCATCAGAC